AAGTATGAAAACTTAGAGAAATGCTAATTACTTAAACAAGAAATAATTTCCACTCGAACGTTTATTTTGAAAAAAGAGTCCCGTTTTTATTATCGATACACTGTGACCGCGTAAACGTAGAGAGAAGTGTACAAAAATTGACGCGCGTACGCGATCCTTTGTGAACACTTTAATAGGTGGGGAATAAGTGAAACGTACGAGAGGCTCGTTACACGGCGGTGGAATGTAAAAAGAACAAATTTGGGACAAAGCGGGGAGTTACGATTAATTTGACGCCCTAAAAGACAGATATACGTTAAAATCGATTCTGATGCAGCACTACCGCCTTTCCGCTGCGCTGCTCGCTCGCGAAAACTGCCCTCGTTCCATTTCAGCGTAACGGAAAGAGAGAAGTAGGTTAAAATACAGCGGCGATACGAACGAAACTTATGAAACTCCCACCTGCCTTACGCTACCTACGCCCGATTTTAACTTTTCCGGCGTGGCGCGCCGCGCCGGACTCCGGTCCATTTCCGACATTTCCGTTCTACCCGGTCTGCCACCGGGATAGATAGACTTCGATGTAGACTTACAGAGACAATAGCACACTATCGCATATAATAACTTACTATTCAATCGTTTCATTAAAATATACTGTCTACGAATTCAATGTAATTGAATGATCAAGGAACAATTTAAAATGATATCCCTTATTGACTCACTCCGCATAACCGGATCAGATATTCTAATAAGCATGAATGAATAACTGAAGTGACAGCAGATCTGCACATCATTCATTATAAATCAAATTCTAGTTTATAATGCATACTCGCTCTTCTTTATTTTGATTTATCAATTTTTGCAAAATCTTTAAGAGATTCTGTATCGAAACACGTTTTCAGATTTTTGAGACGTGAAATTCTAATGACAAATATAAGGAATGTTATTCCATTGGAATTGTTGCAGGAAAATTATTTATATTCTTTTGTTTGAAGCTGAATTTTATCGAAATTGTTTATGATNGAACCATTATTACCTCTACTCTGCGTATACACCGCGACGAGGAGACATTGTTCAAGGGATAGTTACGTATTACAAAGCTTTCATTTCTATTCATGGAATAACAAATTGAAGCACATTCAAATATACAATGAATCGCGTTAATATTCGAATACGGTCGTGTTCCAATGATTAGATGTATGCATGGATGTAGATTTGCATAAACTTGTTTACGACTATGTCATATATGCAATCTTATTATGGTAATACGGGTTCGAATTACCAGACTTTGATTACCATAATTAGCGATAGAAACTCCGTTAAATTGATGAATCAGAAAGTTAAAACAACGTATCTAACAAATGAGAATTAACACTCTCACGCTGTTCTGATTTTTCGCAATTTTTATTGTTAGGCATTAAAAAGTGGTGTTTATTTCTGATATTTAAATACCGGATTGTTTCTAGTCTTCATGACTAATTAGCGTGAAGTGTAGAAAGCGTGTATACTCGTATAATACATGTAAGTATGCAAGTTTTAATTGTTTGTTTGCATGCAAGCCACATTTCTGAGCTTATTTTAA